CGAACTTTCGGACCGGCGCAGTATAAACCCCAAAAAGTTCAAGGTTACCTACTCAGCCACTGAGTACTTGAGACCAATCGAACCTCCGGGGGCTGATCCTGTGGGCGCCAAAAAGGGTCTACGGTACCTATAGTCTCCATCGTAGTCCCATTTTTTCGGGTTAATACCCAATCCTATAAGGTAACCCAAAGCAGGAACTTCAACGGAGACTATAGGTAGGGTTTCTAAGGCTTAGCATTTTCGGGTCTTGAGGTCTGGGCTACTTAGTTAAATGATTTCTCGCTAAGGGCCTTCATATCAGGAGCCCTGCTATAATCCCGTGCAAGGTCGGGGAGTTTGCCAATCAGGGGTCTAAATTAACGTACTGGTCGTGCCCTCACTACAGGAGCAGGTGCCACTGCATTTTTTCATGCACTAACTCTTGCTCCCGCACGAGGTTACAAGAGCTCACTCAGTTCGAGTGTACAAAGTTCAGGGCTGAGGGTTAAGGCTACCGGGCTTGCGGTCTGCAGTTTTGGTTTTTTAGGGTTTAGGACACTTAAACCTAAAATACAAGGCTGAGACCCAAAACCCCAAAACCCTAAACCCCTAAACCACAAGCCCAAAACCAGAAAAGCCAGCGGCAAAATGCCTCCATGGCGCGGAAATGATTCCACGGTCCCGTCATCATCATGCCTTGAGCAAGAAAAAGTGAGCTTCGGGCAGCTCTAGGTTTATGGCTTAAGGGGTGTAGGGTTTAGGGTTTAGGGTTTAGGGTGTAGGGTTTCGGCTTTCGGGTTTATGTAGGGTTTAAGGGGGCAGAAGACCCGGGCATAGGGTTTGGACTTGATTTGGGGGCTTTTGGGCGTGTGGTGTGGTTCGGGTGTTCTTTGTTGGGCTTCTTGGTTGCCGTGGGTTTGGCTCTGCGGTTTGGGAGTTTCCGAAAATAGGGGACCCTAATATAGTACCCTAAATAGAAGGACCCTTGTTATAAGGACCCCAAGATATGGTACCCCNNCCCTAATTTTCGGAAACTCCCGCTTGGCTTCAGGACTTCATGGCTCGGATTCAGCGCCTGAGGGCTCCCCGTCCTTGCTGCTCAAGGACTACCCCTGGAGGACCCAGAAGCACGTGGTTTAGGGTTTAGGGTTTA